GATTTCTTATTTCTTTTTTTTTTTCTCATTGAGTTTAATGGTACTTTCTAAGTATACAGCACAGTTACATTTATTATTTGGATCCTGTACCTTTACATGACAGATCTTAGTTCTCCTTTTTTCCCCATACCCCTCCCCTCCCTTTACCCCCAACCTCCCCTATTTACAATGACTTTGTTTACATTTTTTCCTTTTCTCATATTTTTTCTTGTCCTTTTTTTTTTCTCATTGAGTTTAATGGTACTTTCTAAGTATACAGCACAGTTACATTTATTATTTGGATCCTGTACCTTTACATGACAGATCTTAGTTCTCCTTTTTTCCCCATACCCCTCCCCTCCCTTTACCCCCAACCTCCCCTATTTACAATGACTTTGTTTACATTTTTTCCTTTTCTCATATTTTTTCTTGTCCCTTATATCCTTTCTCCTACCCTTCCCACTTTCCTCACACCTGTAGCCCTTTTCTACTAGTTGATGTCTTGATAGCAGACATTCTTTCTGGATTGAGGTGGAATCTCAGCATTGTATTTTTTTTTATTAAAGTTTGCAAGCATACATGACAACAAGAAATGAAGATACTAAATAAAAATTTCAAATATACATATATATGACAGCAAAAAAGGATGTGAAATAAACAAATATTTATGCAACACAGACTGATAATCCAAATACATTATTAGTTTGATATGATCTTCAAACATTATATGTTTTTTCTCATTTTCTTTTCATATAATATTTTTGAAATAATGTATTTACAAAAAAACCAAAGTTACATATTATAGTTGAGAAACTGTCCTCAAAATTGTATGATATATAAACTCCTTAGTTTTATTAATTTGATAAATATCATATGCTTGTTGATTGTATCACTTACATTTTCTAACAGAACTTCCCACAAAAAAGAAATATACTTATATTTGAAATCCAAAAACAACTAAGAGTTCACATTTTTAAGATCAGATTTTTGTTTGGATTGTATTATATCCCATATTAATTTTTATTATTTTTTATAAGCATAATCATTGAATATAACACCAATACATATGTAATATTCTTCTTAAACAAATGACTATGAATTAAATCAAGCATGTAATTTAGAGAAATCATAAGTTTGCCAGAGAAACTATCAATATGCCAAATGTGCAAAATCCTACCACATTCATGACCATGTTTCCTGTTTAATAGTTAACACATATGTGTAAAAACATACCCCCCCCACATATACACAATGCACATTTTCTATAATACAATATATACTTTGGTATAATAAAACAGTGCAGTGATGTGTGGAATGTTTGTGATTCATGTGATTTGAGAAAAAAAATATCTTTGAGGCAGTTGGAGAATTTGTAATATGTACCAGATACAGAATGATATTAATGATTTATTATCCATTAATTTAAGTACAGTTATGATAAAATTTACTTGAAATTAATATTCATTATCAGTAGAAAATGTGTACAAAGATATAATGATAACATAACAAAATTTGTCTTAACAAATTTCCAACCAAACAAGCTGTAGTGATAGAAAAGGAAGTTTGCAGAAGGCAGAGATGAGAGAGGAGAATGACGGATGGACCTTAACACTTTTCATACTACTCATGTATACAGATTTCATAAATTCTCAAATAAAAAATCAAAGAAAATGAGAAACAAAATAACTCATCAATTGGGTAGACCAACATATAAAGACAAAGATTAATGTGCTGAAAAATTTTAAAAATATGAAATGTAAAGCCAGAGATTTATTTAGCTCAGTAGTGCTGCACCTGCCTAGCCAGAGCAATGTGCTGAGTTTAATTCCCAGCACCAGGGAAAGAAAAAGAAAAAAGAACACACACACAAAAAAAAGAAAAGAGAAAAGGAGACTATGTGCTTTCTAACATACACAATAGATTGAAAATGAATTGCTTGTTATCTCTTCCTCTTGAGTTGTTCCCTTCACAAGGATATAGTGGCCTTCTTTGTTTCTTTTAATCAGTTTAGGTTTGAAATTTACTTTGTGAATAAGATTGCTACTCCTGCTTTTTTCTGGGTTCCTGTTGTATGAAGTAGTTTTCTGTCCTTTCACTTTGAGTCTATGGGCTTCTTTCTGCACTAGGTGTGTTTTGTATACAACATATTGTTGGATTTTGCTTCTTAATCCATTCTGCTGTCTATTTCTCTTGATTGGTGAATTGAGGCCATTGATATTGATGGTTATAACTGATATGTACTAACATTATTGTCATGTTTTTTTCACCTTCTACTTTTGGTTTCTTACCTTGCCTACTTGATTTGCTCTGTTGGGCCTCGTTGTGTTGTGACCTTCATTATCTTTTCTAGGATATTGTTTAGAATTCCTTGTAGTGCTGGTTTGTTGTTCATGAAGTTTCTCGGGTGTTCTTTGCCATGGAAATATCTTAGTTCCCCAGCCATTTTGAAAGAAAGTTTTGGAGGATACATCAGTCTAGGTTGGAGGTTGTTTTCTTTTAGTACTTGAAATGTCTCATTCCAGGCTCTCGTTAACCTAAGGGTTTGTGTGAAAAGTCTGCTGTGATTCTGATGGGCTTCCCTTTGCATGTGATTTGTTTTGCATCTCTTACTGCTTGTAGTATTTTGTTCTTCTGTTGGGTTTCTGGGATCTTGATTATTATATGTCTAGGTGTAGATTTTTTTGATCATGGCTAGTTGGAGTCCT